AACTCCCAAATATCAAGCTCTAGTTTCCCCAAACTCCAGCAGTATTCACATTTGGGCATATTGAGTATTTGTGCCAAATTTGGTCCAGATTCATCATTGTTTGAGTCCATAGGGCTCTCTCGAAGTAGGTGAACTACAACTCCCAAACTCAAGGTCAATGCCCACCAAACCCTTTCAGTATTTTCTGTTGATCATGGGAGTTCTGTGTGCCCAGTTTGGTTCAATTCCATCGTTGGTGGAGTTCAGAATGCTCTTTGATGGTAGGTGAACTATAAATCCCAGCAACTGCAATTAGCAAATGACAACATCAATTCCCCCCCCGCCCTCCTAACCCCACCAGTATTCAAATTTGGGTGTATCAGTTATTTGTGCCAAATTTGTTCCAGTGAATGAAAATACAACCTTCATATCAGATATTTACGTTACAATTCATAACAGTAGCGAAATGAGAGTTATGAAGCAGCAACAAAAATCATGTTATGGTTGGGGGTCACCACAACATGAGGAACTGGATTAAGGGGTCGTGGCATTAGGAAGGTTGAGAAACACTGCTCTATGAAATCAGTGTGGTCTCCATACACCAACAGGCAACTTAAAGAAACATACACACATTTTCATTGAAGATGTCAACTGAAGATGCCAATATAGTGTGGTGTCTTATTTACAAACACTTATGCTGCAACAGATCCTCAGTTGTTGAAAATGTCGAATCCTATTGTGTACAGTACAATGTTACAATTTCCTTGCTTATTACTCAGAAGCCGAGCTTTTTACAGAGTCACATCTCATATTGTGATAACATCAGATGCCTTCAAGAAAGTAGGATAATTAGGGAGGAACACCAAAGGCCCAAGGGGGGAAATGGATGGACCAAACCTGTCCATTAATAAAATGCCTGGCTAAAAAGTTGCTCTTCAGACCAGTTAACCTAGGTATGGGCAAACGTCAGCTCCTCCAGGTGTTATGGACTCCAACTCCCATAATTAATGTGTTCGCTCACCATTCGACAGTGAATAGTTGGGAATAACGAATGGATTGAGCTCCTAATGTCCATTAGGTGAAACAGGCTATAGTGACTCATGAAAATATGTGCCACAATACAGTAAATAAAGAGCAAGGCTCAGAAAGCAGGGGAATTCCAGACATGAAAGAATCAGGGCCAGTTAATACCTCCCAACAAAGGATTCCCCCAGGCAGGCTTTGAAACTGCAAGACTATTCAATGCTAATCAAGGTGACCAACTGTAACATTGAAACAGAAGAGTTCTCTCTCTCCCCTTGAACATTCAACAGATACATAAACCCTACTTGCCTAGTTTCCAACAGACCTCACAACCTCTGAGGATGCATGCCATAGATGTGGAGGAAACGTCAGGAGAGAATGCTACTAGAACATGGCCATACAGCCCAGAAAACTCACAGCACCCTGTTTTTGCTAACTTTATGCTAACATCAAAGCAAGGTTGGATCCACAGATCCACTAAGTTCCTCCTTTCATTCTATATCAACAGACCTCCAAGTTACTACATCTATAGAATTCATCAATCAGTATTTCTGATTTGGAGGAGGAAGGCGAGGAGGCCAAAAGATGCAGTCGAAAACAAAAATAATGTTTGCAAATTCTGTAAAAATGAAACACATTTGGGGCATCACTCTTGGCCAGTCTCAAAGAAGAGACCACAGAGACTCCGAGGAATTACTTTTCATATATCAAGAGATAAAGAAAGGGGTGGGGACAAAGACAAGGGGTGCATCTACACAGCATAATACATAAATATTTTGACATCACTTTAATTGCCCTGTCTCAATCCTACCAAATCCTGGGAGCCGCAGTTTTACAAGGTCTTTGGCTTGAACATTAGGAAGAACTTCCTGACTGTGAGAGCTGTTCAGCAGTGGAACTCTCTGCCCTGGAGTGTGGTGGAGGCTCCTTCTTTGGAGGCTTTTAAGCATAAGTTGGATGATCATCTGTCGGGGGTGCTTTGAATGCAATTTTCCTGCTTCTTGGCAGAATAGAGTTGGACTGGATGGTCCAACTCTATGAGTCTATGATTCTGTGCCAAAGAGTGCTGCTGCCTCACCAAATTGCATCTCTCATGATTCCATAATATTGAGTAGTTAAAGTGGGATAAAATTGCATTCATTCAATGCTAGTATAGATGCACCAAAGAGGGACTGAACTGGGAAGGAGAGGTATTTTGCATCTTGGGTGGTAAGCTTCCTCCAACAACTGCAAGAGTGAAGATTAATCATCTGAGGTTTGCTTGCTTGTTTCTTTTTTTGCATTAAGCAGGCAGATGTGGTTGTCTCATCCGAGCTAATTTTAAACGCGAAATAATAATATATGCAAATAAGCCAAGAGCCAAAGGAGCTGGGAAAGGAGCCGTGAGGGATGGTGGTGGCTGGCTTCACTCCTATCTGTTCCAAGACCCACACAGAGGCCCCTCTCTTTGCCAGGCCCACCTGGATCCAAGAATGCTTCTACACCAGGCATGGGCAAACTTGGGCCCTCCGGGTGTTTTGGACTTCAACTCCCACAATTCCTAACAGCCGGTAGGCTGTTAGGAATTGTGGGAGTTGAAGTCCAAAACACCCGGAGGGCCCAAGTTTGCCCATGCCTGGTGTAGAAGCATTCTTGGATCCAGGTGGGCCTGGCAAAGAGAGTTTGACAACATCTCATGAACCATCCAGTCCAACCCCCTGCTAATAAGCAGGAAAATTGCATTCAAAGCACCCCCGACAGATGGCCATCCAGCTTCTGTTTAAAAGCCTCCAAAAAAGGAGCCTCCACCACACTCCGGGGCAGAGAGTTCCACTGCTGAACAGCTCTCACAGTTAGGAAGTACTTTCAAACGTTCAGGTGGAATCCCCTTTCCTGTAATTTGAAGTTATTGTTCCACGTCCTAGTCTCCAGGGCAGAAGAAAACAAGCTTGCTTGGAAGGCCTTCCTTCCGATTAATACTGCAGAATGAATGTGTCTGGACACCACTTGAACAGCCATGGCTCTTTGCTATGGAATCTGGGAGCTGTGGTTTTACAAGCTCTTTAGCCTTCTCTGCCAAAGAATGATGGGGCCTCACCAAACTATGAATTTCATGATTGCATAGCATTGAGCCATAGCAGTTTAAAATGTATTCTCTGCCAAAGGGGCCTCACCAAACTACACGTCTCATGACTGCATAGCATTGAGCCATGGCAGTTAAAACTGGGGTCAAGCTGCATTCATTCTGCAGTGTTGAGAGGCATCCTGAGAAAGGAGGAGAGACAGAAGAGGAAGAAAAGAAGAGGAGGCAGAAAGTGGAGGAGGAAGAGAGAAAGAGAAGGAGAAAAAGAGAAGAGGAAGAGGAAGAAAAGAGGAGGAAGGGAAGATGAGGAAAAAGAAGGGGAAGAGGAGGAGAGAAAGAAAGAAAGAAAAGGAAGCAAAGAAAAAAAGTAGAAGAGAAGGAAGAAGAGGAGGAGGCAGAAAGGAAGAGGAGGAGAGGAAAAAGAGTAGAAAAAGGGAAGTGGAAATGAGAAGAGGAAAGGGGGCAAGGAAAGAAAATGAAGCAAAGAGAAAAAGAAGAAGAGGAGAAGAAGAAGAGGAGGCAGAAAGGAAGAGGAGGAGAGGAAAAGGAGTAGAAAAAGACAAGAAGAGTATGAGAAAAGGAGAAGGGGAAAAAAGAAAAGGAAGCAAAAAAGAAGAGAAGAAGAGAAGGAAGAAGAGAAGGAGAGGAAGAGGAGAAGGGGAGAAAAAAGTGGAGAAGAAGAGAAGATGAGCAGAATGAGAAGACGAGAAGAGGAAGCAGAGGGAAAGAAAGAAAGAAAGAAAGAAAGAAAGAAAGAAAGAAAGAAAGGGAAGCAAAGAGGAAAAAGAAGAAAAGGAAGAAGAGGTAGAGAGTAGATGAGAAAAGGAAAAGAGGAAGAGCAGAGAAAGAAAGAAAGAAGCAAAGAGGTCTATGAGAAGAAGAGAAGGAAGAAGAAGAAGCTGAGAGAAAGAGGAGAAGGAGAGGAAAAGGAGAAGGAGAAGAAGAGGAAGAAGAAAGGAGGTTAAAGGGAAGAGGAGGAAGAAAAAGGGAAGAGGAGGAGAGAAAGAAAGAAAAGGAAGCATATCTGAAAAGGAGAAGAAGAGAAAATAGAAGAAGAGGAGACAGAGAGGAAGAGGAGGAGAGGAAGAAGAGAAAAAGAGAAGAAGAGGAGGATGAGAAGAGGAAAGGGGGAAGAGGAGGGAAAGAAAGAATGAATGGAAAGGAAGCAAAGAGGAAGAGGAGAAGAAGAGATGGAAGAAGAGGAGGCAGAGAGTTAGAGGAGAAGGGGAGGAAGAAGAGGAGGAAAAGAGAAGAGGAGGAAGAAAAGAGGGGAAAGGAGGAAGAAAGGATGAGGAGAAGAGGAGAGGAAGAGAAGAAGATGATGAGAGGGAAAGAAATAATGAATGAAAAGGAAGCAAAGAGGAAGAGGAGAAGAAGAGATGGAAGAAGAGGAGGCAGAGAGGAAGAGAAGGGGAGAAAGAAGAGGAGGAAAAGAGGAAGAAGAAAAGAGGGGAAAGGAGGGAGAAGAAAGGAAGAGAAGAGGAAAGGAAGAGGAAGAGAAGAAAGCAGAGGAGAAAGAGAGAAAGCAGAGAAGGAGGAGAGGAGGTGGAGGAAGCTGTGTCTACTTCCAAGCCCTCCTGGGGTCCGGATTTTGGGGGCAAACACACCCCTCTTAATGGAAGCAAGGGTCCATCCTCCTCTGCTCCTTCCAAAGCCCAACTTTAGAGGGGCTCCCTCACGCCCACCCCAAAACAGAAGGGAGAGGCCTCTTCCAAGGCTTGGGGAGGGGGCTCACCTCCCCATTTCATTCTAGGTCCCATCGTCCACCACTCCGTTTGAGAAGCATCTGCTTTCGCGTACGGAGCACTTCTAAACCGGTTGTGATGCCAGTCTACATTCCGAGCCCAGCCTTGCTCCAAGAGACTGGAACGAGGCTGCCTTTCCTTCCTCCCTGAGGTCCCCCCGCAGCAATAATCGCCTGCCCCTTCCTCCTTACCTGGTGCAGCCGGAGCCAGACCTCGGAGCAGTCCAAAATCAGGATGCCGGGGGGAGAGGCGCGGGTCCTCCTGATACTGTTGTTCTCAATTTAGCTCCGCCGCTCGCCACGATTGGGAGAGCAGGGAGTGGAAGGGGGCGGGAGGAGAGCTCTGATTGGCCGCCCGAAGTTCTTTTCTCCCGCCCCGTCCCCAGGCAGGCCCCGCCCACTCCCCTCGCCTAGGCTTTTTGGAGAAGACGCGGGCGAATCCCGCTTGGCCCTTCTCCGCTGTTCATTCAAAAGGAGGCAGACCCGCCCCCTCATTTGAATAGAGGGCGTGGCCACGCTGCTTCGAAGGTGGGCGTGGCAGAAGGGGTTCCCATCAGTGGGCGGGGATATTCTCTTTGAGTGACAGGTCAGGGAGGGGATTCCCCAAGAGCTGAATGAATGAATAAATGAATGGAGGTCAAGCTCTAGCAGGGATGCATCTACGCTGTAGGATTAACGCACTTTTGACACCACCTTAGCTCTCATAGTTCAATGTTATGGGATCATGGGATCTGTGTTTTGATGAGGCACCTGCAGTGAAGGCTAAAGACCTTGTAAAACTACAACTCCCAGGATTCCATAGCATTAAACCATGGCAGTTTGAAGTGGTGTCAAACTGCATTAATTCTACAGTGTAGATGCAGAATTAATCCAGGTGTAGATCCAGGTTAAATACCTGTTATCTGAAAGTACTTGGATTTTGGAGTTTCTCAGATTGTGTATTTGCATATATGTACATATGTTGCAAATGAAATATAGATGCAGAATTAATCCAGGTGTAGATCCAGGTTAAGTATCCGTTATCTGAAAATACTTGCATACTGGAGTTTTTCAGATTGCGTATTTGCATATATATACATATATTTTCAGATTGTGTATTTGCATATATGTACATATATGCAAATGTAGTGTAGATGCAGAATTAATCCAGGTGTAGATCCAAGTTAAGTATCCGTTATCTGAAAACACTTAGATTTTGGAGTTTTTCATATTGCATATTTGCATATATGTACATATATGCAAATGCAGTGTAAATGCAGAATTAATCCAGGTATAGATCCAGGTTAAGCATCCGTTATCTGAATAGACTTGGATTTTGGAGTTTTTCAGATTGTGTATTTGCATATCTGTACATATATGTAAATGCAGTGTATATGCAGAATTAATCCAGGTTTAGATCCAGGTTAAGTATCCGTTATCTGAAAAGACTTGGATTTTGGAGTTTTTCAGATTGCGTATTTGCATATATGTACATATATGCAAATGAAGTATAGATGCAGAATTAATCCAGGTGTAGATCCAGGTTAAGTATCCATTATCTGAAAATACTTGGACTTTGGAGTTTTTCAGATTGCATATTTGCATATATGTACATATATGCAAATGCAGTGTAGATGCAGAATTAATCCAGGTTTAGATCCAGGTTAAGTATCTGTTATCTGAAAAGACTTGGATTTTGGAGTTTTTCAGATTGTGAATTTTGGAGCTTAGATGCAGAATTAATCCAGGTGTAGATCCAGGTTAAGTATCCATTATCTGAAAATACTTGGATTTTGGAGTTTTTCAGATTGTGCCATTCAGGAATGCACAATTCAATCCACAAACTCAGCAGCACCAAAGCAAGGCCAGAAGAAACTGTGAAGAAGCGCGGCCTTTCTTTCCTTCGCCTCTTTTAATAATCATTACCAGAATATACAAGCACAGCGGGAGCGAGCTAGGAACGGCTTAAGGATTTAATTTTACTGTTTAGCATTCAGGGCGGAATAGATGATGACACTCACCTCGTTTGAAAGATTGCCTCGTGGCGCAGGTATGATTAAATCCGCAGGGCAAACCGCAGGGATCGCAAGCCCTTGGAGCTGGGCACCCGATCCTCCTTTCTCGGCCTCAGGTTGGCTAGTGCACTAACTTGTTGTCAAAGGCTTTCATGCTCAGAATCACTGAGTTGCTGTGAGTTTTTTTGGGCTGTATGGCCAAGTTCCAGTAGCGTTCTCTCCTGACGTTTTGCCTGCATCTGCTAGCATCTTCATAGGTTCCGTTGGCAGTGAAGCATGTGAAATGTGTGTATATATACATTGATGAGGCACCTCCATATATCTGTGAAATTTGAAGATGCCGTTAGCCACAGATGCAGGCAAAATGTCAGGAGAGAATGCTACTGGAACATGTCTGTACAGCCCAAAAAACTCTCAGCAACCCAATACTAACTTGGCCAGAACTTGTTCTGCTTTATTCAGTACATAGAAGAGTCTTGAACAGGGCTGGGCTAACTTTGGCCCTTTGGGTGTTTGGACTTAAACTCCCACAATTCCTAACAGCCGGTATCAACATCTTTTTTGTGGAATCAACATCTTTTTTTATGGTCTTTGGTGACCCCTCTGACACCCCTCATTACCCCCTCAGGGATCCAGGCCCCCAGGTTGAGAAACTTTGTTTTAAAGGGTTTTGTTGACATTAAATGTTAGTGAAATGGACTTTAATTTGAAAAGAAGTGAAAACTAAAAGCTATTCCTTGTCTATTGTCTGCTAATTTGAAAGGTTTTTATTGAATGATTGCATAAAATTCTGCCTTCGCAGGTCTTTCTGACATCACATAGGTCAAAGGATAGAGATCCCATTGCCTCACCCAAGCTGTGCAATACAGTGAGACAAACTCCGTCAGCTGGCACCATTGTTGCATTGAGAAGGGGAAGAGGAATAAATGAGGGTGAGAAATGATATCTGAATGACGCAACTTGACTTATTAACACACTGCTGGAGCCCCCAGTGGCTCAATGGGTTAAATCCTTATGCCGGCAGGACTGAAGACCAACAGGTTGCAGGTTTGGATCCGGGGACAGCGCAGATGAGCTCCCTCTGTTATCTCCAGCTCTCCATGCGGGGACATGAGAAAAGCCTCTCACAAGGATGGTAAAAACATCAAAACATCCGGCTGTCCCCTGGGCAACGTTCTTGCAGACGGCCAATTCTCTCACACCAGAAGCAACTTGCAGTTTCTCAAGTCGCTCCTGACATGGAAAAAAAAACCCACGCTGCTTTAATGTATGAAGGAGGAATGGATTTCTAATCTGTTTCAACCTGGTTGAAAGCAGTCGTGATAGCCAGGTTTAAGTATTTGAAAGGATGTCAGACTGAGGAAGGGGCAAAGCTTGTTTTCTGCTGTTTTAGAGACTCGGACATTAATTATTTATTATTTATTATTATTATTATTAAACTTTATTTGTACCCCGCTAGCATCTCCCGAAGGACTCGATGCGGCTTACAAAGGCCAAGGCCTCAATACACAACATAACAATACACCTAAAGCAAATTAAAAACAATTAAAGCAATATTAAAACAACAAAACAACAAGCAATAAACAATACACCAAAACACAATAAAACTGGGCTGGGCCAGAGTAAAAGGTACAGGATTAAAAGTGCTCATGTGACAGGTGATATGTAAGGACATGGAGCAATGGATTTAAATTGTAAGAAAAGGCATTCCGCCTGAATTCTAGGAATAATTGTGGGAGTAGAAGTCCAAAACACCCGGAATAATTTTCTCATAGTTAGAGCTGTTTGACAGTGGACTATGCTGACTGGGAATGTGATGGAGTCTCCTTCCCTGGAGAATTTAAAGCAAAGGCTGGATGGCCATCAGCCAGAAGTGCTTTGATTGTGTGTTCCTGCCTGGCATAACGGGGCTGTTCTGGATGGCCCTTGGGGTCTCTTCCAACTCTGTGATTCCATGATTCTAACTAGAAGCAAGATATCTTCAATCAGAAGTAAGCAGTGAAGATCATGATGATGCGATGTGCTTTAATGAGCACATATGCTTGGAAACCTTCCTAAGCAGTGCTCCTTCGTTGCCACTTTGCGTGGCCACAGTTCTATCTAGAACAGCCTTAAATAAAGTGTTCTTTCTCCACTATAAATAATCTTCTTGGGGTTCCTCCCACATCCCTCCATATAGCCCTGTCAGGCATCAGAAGTTCCCTTTAGTTTAGCAGATATTGATGATGCGCTCATTAGCCAGTGGTCTCCTTGAGGAATAGGAACAGTGGCATCAACTGAACTGCATTCAAGTGCATTGAGATGTTAAATGTTGAAAGAGCAGATGGAGGACGATCGTAACTTAAAACAGTTGCATCATGCAATAATGTGTTTTCCATGCCAGGTACTAATTCTGGATGCTAATAAGTAGAAAATGAAAGTGTGCCTCCAGCAATATATGGTTCTCAGGCTAGTTTTTGGCACTGCAGACATTCAGCATGGAAATTAACGTGCATCCTATTGCATGGTTCCACTCTCACCATGACGAAATCTATATGGGTTGATGATTTCTTATTTTAGCCAATTGCCAATATATTTATTTAGTCCTTTAAAACTCTCACCAAAGAGTCATTACAGAATTTAGAAGAGCAGAAAGATACATGCATAAATCTTTACAGCAGTGTTTCACGACCTTCCTAATGCTGTGACCCCTTAATACAGTTCCTCATGTTGTGGTGACCCCCAACCATAAAATTATTTTGTTGTTTTTCCAAAACTGTAATTTTGCTACTGTTATTTTGCTACTGTTATGAATCGTAATGTCAATATCTGATATGCAGGATGTATTTTCATTCACTGGACCAAATTTGGCACAAATACCCAATACACCCAAATTTGAATACTGGTGAGGTTGGGGAAGGGGATTGATTTTGTCAATTGGGAGTTGTAGTTGTTGGGATTTATAGTTCACCTACAATTAAAGAGCATTCTGAACTCCACCAGCGATGGAATGGAACCAAACTTGGCATACTGAACTCGCACGACCAACAAAAAATACTTGGTGGGCATTGACTTTAAGTTTTGGAGTTGTAGTTCATCTACTTCATCTTCATCTTGATGAACTACTTTGGCCACATAATGAGAAGACAGGAAAGCTTGGAGAAGACAATGATGCTGGTGAAAATGGAAGGAAAAAGAAGAGGGACAGACCAAGGGCAAGATTGATGGATGGTATCCTTGAAGTGATTGGCTTGACTTTGAAGGAACTGGGGGTGGCCACGGCCGACAGGGAGCTCTGGTGTGACCTGGTCCATGAGGTCACAAAGATTTGGAAGCAACTGAATGAATAAACA